TGGTTCTTCCTGTCCTAAAACTCTGAGCACACTATCTTCCATCGAAGTAGAGGCAGCACTCATTGCACATTTTAATTAAATCATATCTTCAAGCCGGACTGGCTTTTCCCGAGTCCTCAGCACCATGGAAGAATGAGCAGTTAACATCCAGTCCTTCCACTGCCCATAAGGAAGAATGGACAAATCAGACGACCTGGATCATACCATCAGAACCATCTCTACCCTCATCTGGCTGTATGACCTTCGCCAAAAGTCTGAACTTCTCTGAGCCCCAGATTCTTCATCTGAAAATGAAGTTGATGATGCCTCTCTTGTCAGCCGAGCCCAACCTCATGCAAAGATCAACTGGGACAATGTGGGTGACAGAAACTGTAACCTGCAAAGTGCTCCACAAATGTGGGGTCTTAATTACCGTTCTCCGCTCACCCTGAGGAGCATGGTCCCTGACTCCAGGCACCTGCTCCTCGAGAAAAAGCTCAGCTCAACCGCCTTCTTTCTCAGGGTAAAGTCCGAGGCTGCTCCCTCTCCTGGCAGGGCTCGCTCACTCTACCAGTTGCCTTCACAATCCGCAGAGTCATGAGCAGAGATGGTGTAGAATGGAGGCTCATGACTCCGGATGTCGCATCCAGGCTCAGAGGCCTGCTCCCTGTTCAGAGACTCGCTGGTACTGTCAGGATCCGCTTGACTCGAGGAGAGAGGCCCATTGTGCTGCACTGGGAGGGGCGTGGCAGGGCCTCTGACTCTGAAGCATAAGGAGACGCTGCAGGAGTAGAGCCCTTCAGGAGTAGCTGACCCGGCTTCAAATCTCCATTCTTTTGCTTTCTAGCCACATGGACCCTCTGAGCCTCCATCTCCTCATCTGCAAATGGGGATGACAGTGTCTGCAGGGCCGGTGGGAACCAGAAGCCACGACTCTGAAGCCGGCGTGTGGCACCTGGTAACCACCCTGAGGAAAAGGCCAAGGAACAGAAACTAACATTTATGAAGCACCTCAGTTTGGCTGGATGCTGTACTTACGCTTTTCTCATCTAATTTATAAAACTCTGAAGCTTTAAGATGGGGAAAGCAGAGTTAGACATGTGACGTGACTAGTGACAGGTAGTAAGAGAGCTGAAGTCTGTGTTTGACTCCTCGCTGGTTGAGCCCTAAAACTGGAGCTGAGCCTAATGCTTCCCGTGGCTTCCCTGCCCATCCCCAGTCAGTACAGACCTGGCTCCCAGATGGAAAACACTTCATTAAGGAAGGAAAGGGGTGCTAAGTGAGTCTCAGGGTCCTTTGTCTTGTGAGGATGTTGGCAGGGAAGCTGTTGGCTCATGTCACCCTCTGCTGGCACAGTGAGCACTGAGGGCGTCTGTATCAGTCAGGGTTCTCCAGAGAAACAGAACCAATAGGATATATAGAGATACATAGAAAGAGATTTATTATGAGGGATTGGCTCATGCAATTACGGAGGCCAAGAAGGCCCACGATCAGCCGTCTACAAGCTGGAGGCCCAGGAAAGCTGCTGGTGTGATTCAGGCCAGTCAGAAGACCTGAAAACCAGGAGCTCCCAAGTCTAAGGCAGGAGAACATGGAAGTCCCAACTCAAGCAGAGAGAGCAAATTCGCCCTTTCTCCACCTTTTCTATCTGGCCCTCAATGGGCCGTGTGAGGCCCACCTTCATCGATCAGAGCGATCTTTACTCAGTCTATTGATTCAAATTCTGATTTCTTTCAGAGACATCCTCACAGACATATCCAGAAAGAATGTTTACCGGCTCTGTGGGCATCCGTTAGCCCAGTCAAGTTGACACAAAAGTTAACCATCACGGTAGCCAAGGAACGAGTGGTCCCTATGATGGCCACTCACTGTTGGCTATTTCTCCACCCAACAGTAGCCTTCAGTGGAGCCCTGTCACTGACTGTCCCCAGACATTCCCCAGTCTGCTCCCTCCCCACCTCTCCTGTTTCTCCACCTCTTCTTCCTTCACACTTTCTGGTCCAGCATCAGCGGGCTTGAGGTCACTTGAGACCAAGTTTTCCCACCTCCACCCTTTATCTGTGCTGTTCCTTGGCAGAATGCCCCCCTGCCATCTCCTGGCCAATTCTGACTTATCATTTAAGACTCTGCTGTGTGCTGCTAACACCAGAGAACCCTATCTGGCTCTCCAGGCCTGGTGCGGAGTATACCGTCCATCATCTCTGCTCCCACAGTAATCCCGCACACCGATTACCACCTCTGTACTACTTCTATTTTTTTTAATCCTCACCAGAGGACATTTTTTCCATTGATATTTAGAGAGATTGAAAGGGAGGGAGGCCCAGCCAGCGTGGCTCGGTAGTTGAGCGTTGACCTACGAACCATGATATCACAGTTCTATTCCTCGTCAGGGCACATGCCCGGTTGCGGGCTCGATCCCCAGTCGGGGGCATGCAAGGGCAGCCGATCAATGATTCTCTCTCATCATTGATGTTTCTCTCTCTCTCTCTCCCTCTCCCTTCCTCTCTGAAATCAATAAGAAATATTAAAAAAGAAAAAAAGAAAGGGAGGGAGGAGGGAGGTGAGAAAAATATCAATGTGAGAGAGACACATAATCGGTTGCCTCCCGCACACACCCTGAGCAGGACCCAGGATCAAGCCTGCAACCGAGGTACATGCCCTTGACCAGGAATCGAACCCAACACCCTTCGGTCCACAGGCTGATGCTCTGACCACTGAGCCAAACCATAGGGCTCTGCACTACATTTTGATGTCATTATTCCTTAGTAACGTTTGTTCTTCTCATAGTCTGGGGTTGTCTTAAGTGGGGTTGAGGAGTGCTTAGGACAGTGGTTCCTGCGGGGAGGGAGTGAGAGGGCACCTGGAGAGCTCTTTTGGCATCTTCTGTCCAACTCCCTCTCTCCTATATGAGAACGGGTCATGGGGAAGCACCACAGTTATTTTGCCAACCTCTCCAAGGTAATTCTGATTTAGGATTTGTCTCTACCCTAACCCTTGCTTTGGGCCAAGCCAAAGAGCTGCGCAGGGAGACAGACAACCTTTGATCCATACAGTTTGGGGAAACCCATGTCTGCCTTCTCGGCGGGCTTGAGATTGGGAAACCATTCCGAAATCATCACAGGTGCCTCCAAACTGAACTTGACTGGATTGTGCGGAGGCGGCGGCTGGTGTGTGGGAAAGGTTGGTGTGTGGAGAGGGCCTGGAGGTGGGAGCAGATGAGGCGCCTCCTGGGGTTCCCTCCCTGCTTCCTTGTGCAAATAACCTGTCAGTGGTAAAATACTCTTTTTCTCCGGTTTGTAACAGCGTCCTGAGCTGGTGACAGACCTACTCTGTGGCCCTCAGTCAGATTCAGCTCTCACCTTCCAGAAAACATGACCCTCGCTGGTAGGTACAAACTTATTTATGTGATGGGGCACCACAGCACAGGTTATTTCTGTACACGCATGTAGGTACCTGCATATGCACAGAAGAAGATAAAAGAATTACACCCAAGGTTGCAAAAGGTTATCTCTAGACGGTGGGTGGGATCGCAACTGAGTTCTTCTTCCTTTTGCTCTTCTGTGTGTGTGTGCTTTAAAAAGGATTTGCCATGCACATGTATTATTTTTTAAATATATTTTTATTGATTTGGGAGAGGGAGAGATAGAAACATCAATCATGAGAGAGAATCATTGATTGGCTGCCTCCTGCATGCCCCCCTCTGGGGATTGAGCTCACAACCTGGGCATGTGCTCTTGACTGGAATCAACCTTGGGACCCTCCAGTCTGCAGGGCGATGTTCTATCCACTGAGCCAAACCATCTAGGGCCATGTGTAGTATTTTTAAGTCAATTATGTTTTCAATTTGTAAAAGGAAATGAGGAGGAGAGTGCCCAGGCATCGCGCTGGGCATTAGCTGAGAGCTGAGAGCGCCTGAAGGAGGGGACCAAGCCAGGAACACATGCCAGGGGTGGGGGGGGTGTGCTATGATCTGTGACCTTCTGGTTTTCAAAACCTCCCAGACACAGAAAGACTGGACAGTGGTAGGGGTACCCCTTGAGCTCTCATGGACATCAGCCCCTCTGGCTGTGACCACTGCACTGGGAAGGTCAGGGAAGGTGAGCTTTTTCTCCCACTTCTTTACCTCCCGTGTTTCCAGGAAAACACTGCCTGGAGCATAAGAAATGGAGAACCCTGGGTGCCTGTGGGGAGCTAGAGAGCGTGGTCCTGGATGGCTGGCTGGGTGGGGCTGGTGCGTGGGGTCTTTCCCTGAGACCATTTTCTATTCGGCACTAGGAAGGGGACGATGTGCTAAGGAAAAGATGGTGTCATCTGCGTGCTCTGGAAGGCTCAGGTTCTAGTAGGTGGGCAGAATTGGGTCCAAATCACACACAGGAGTCCTAAACAGGGCCGCTTGGGGCAAAGGGGGCTGGGTCCCCAGCCAAGGGGTGGGTCTGGGTGCCTCTGCAGAGCCCGGTGCCCCCTGATGCTGGGGCATCCAGACTCCCACAGCTGCTGGCCCGGAGACTAGGGGAGGGCGGCCGTCTTCACCTGCGGGTGTTCCCACAGCCTACAAGGAAAAGATGAAGGAGCTCCCGCTGGTGTCTCTGTTCTGCTCCTGTTTCCTGGCCGACCCCCTGAATAAGTCATCCTATAACTATGAAGGTAAGTGAGGGCCACCGCTAGGAAAGTAATGGGTGGAGGGTTCCTGTGGCTCACAGCCACAGTACAGCACCCCCACCCCAGTTTCCTGAACCTCTGTCCCCCACATCACCATTGCTTTCCCAGGACCAATAGAATCACCACAGCTGACTCCAAGGGTCTAAGCACCATGTGAAGGCAGGCGTGGGGCTGGGCCTGGGGAGTAGGCAGCAGGCAAAGGTCTGACGCAGGCCCTTGTGCAGAGTGATCTTGATCTCAGCTTTTGTTCACTCACTTAAATGATGCTGTGGAGGGTGCAGAGGTGAAGCAGAGATGATGCCCTCAGGGAACACCGAGCCTGGAAGAGGAGGCAAGACAGGCTTACATCCGTAGACTCCATAGTTGCCAAGCCTCCTCCGGGAAGGGTAGGGATTACTGGGGGAGAGCCCAGAGGTGGGAAGAGGACTTTTGCCCAAGGAGGCTCTGTGATAGCCATGCTGGTGGGTCCTTGAACAGGTGTCCCTCGGTGCTGGCAGGGAGCACTGAATGGCCACATCCTGACTGGGGGTGGTCAGAGCACAAGTCACCTCCTAATTTCCTGGGGTTAAAGGAAGGGATGGGTTTGGTCTGAAAATGAGAGATGGGGGTGTTTGGGTTACCTGAGAATGTTTTTTTCCGTTGTTTAGGCTGGTGTGGGAGACAGTGTAGGAGAAAAGATCAAAGCCAGCGGAAAGACAGTGCTGACTGGAGAGAAAGAAGAGAGCAGGGTAGGAGGGAGAGGGGGAGAGGTGTCAACAGGCTGAGCCATCAGACTGGTAGTGGGAGGAGGAGTGCAGAGTGGATGGGTGGTGGGTGGTGGGTAAGTGCACACTGTTGGCCACCATAGATGACCATCTGAGCAAGAGCTCAACTATGGGAGGAGCCTTGTGGCAGCAGCAAACACCGTTGCTACAGCCATTGTCAGGAATCACAAATCTTGGGACCTTAAACTTGGAGCCTGAGCCCTCATTGTGGCTACCCTCTCCTTAGCCCCATCAGAGCCCACGGAACGTAGGTGCCCCGTTGAGGACAGACCCAGAACGTTGGCCATTGGTTTGCCTGGGGCACCCAGGTCTCCCACAGATGTGTGCATGTGTGTGTGCTTTACGGGTGCCCACGCTGTCTTCAGGGGGTGAGCAGCCCCTCTTCTTCTCTCTGCAGCTGACACGGTAGACCTGAACTGGTGTGTGATCTCCGACATGGAAGTCATCGAGCTGAACAAATGCACCTCCGGCCAGTCCTTTGAAGTCATCCTGAAGCCGCCCTCCTTTGATGGGGTGCCCGAGTTCAATGCCTCCCTCCCCAGGCGAAGAGACCCATCGCTGGAAGAGATACAGAAGAAACTAGAAGCAGCTGAAGAGCGGAGGAAGGTAAGTGCTGTCCTTTCTCCCCTCCATCTCAGCAGGAGGGGGAAGGAGCTGGAGAAGACAGGTGGTGGCTCTGAGCTGGGGTCAGGTCACCATCAACCTACAAATATGTCGACAGCACTTCCCATCCCCAGGGCAGAGAATGGGGCGTCATGGAGAGAAACAAGAAGTAAACGTCCCTGGTCTCTAGGAGCTTACAGTTTGGTTAGGGGGCTCAGGCACTGCATTACCTGCCTCCAAGAGGTGGCCGGACATGCACAGCAACAAGAGTAAGACGTGGACAAACAATAAGGATTTAGGAAAAGACTAGACAAGTAAAAAAAGGGGCTCCTTCACTGGGGAGGGGGAAGAAGGCCCCCTGGTGTGTGTGCTGTTTCCTATTGATTCTCATGGCCCACCTCTGATGCCAATTTTTGTGTAAGTTTCTCTTCATCTTTCACACAGAAAATAATCTTCTCTTCCCTTGGATTCCTCTTAGGGTATATGTCACGTGCTAGTTTGGTTTGAGTTATTTATGTTTGTTCTCTCTACTAGGCTTTTTTCTTTCCCAAGTTGGTAGATGAGTGCCTGGCACATAGTATATGGTCATTTAGTATTTGTGAATGCCTGAATGAATGGATGGATGGATGAACGAATGAATGAATGATGGCCATGAGGAAAAGAGAACTGACGGTACGGTGGAGAATCTAGGAAGTAGGCTGGGGACCAAGTTCAGGGAGGCATGTGTTCCGGGTGTGGAGCTTGTAAGTCAGACGATAAAGACATCCCCGGCGTGCTCACCTTCAAGAGTCTCTTTCTCCCTTTGTGCGTCCCTAGTACCAGGAAGCTGAGCTCCTGAAGCACCTCGCCGAGAAACGGGAACACGAGCGGGAGGTGATCCAAAAGGCCATCGAGGAGAACAATAACTTCATCAAGATGGCTAAAGAAAAGCTGGCCCAGAAGATGGAATCCAATAAGGAGAACCGGGAGGCCCACCTTGCTGCCATGTTGGAACGGCTGCAAGAGAAGGTAAGTGGCCTTGACCAGAGAGGAGACTCCTAGGACACGGTCTTCCGTCCATGGCAAGTGTCATAGACCTATTCGTCATTTCCGGGAGCAGGCAGCCTGCGGCAGGAATGGGGATATTCCGCTAGGCTGGGTCCTTAACGAGTTCCGAGGGATGGTTTGGGATGTCATAGGCAAGAAACGTACGTGGAGCTTTGGAATTCCTTGGAGGACGTGCTGCATGGCCACACAGTGGAACTTTCTCATTGTCTCAGGGAGATTCAAGTTCTTATCATCTAGAGAACGCAAGGGAGGAGGAATAAACAAGCCGCTGTACACGCCTGGCTTTATCCTTGAATGGACCAATTCAACTCAATGAGAGATGCTGACTGGAGCTCTTGGCTCTCAGCCAGGGGCACGATGACCTGAGCTGCCCATTAAGCAGGAAACATGATTCTTCCCAACTCTATTGATACAGACCGAGGGAGTCATGAGTCTTTCCAATATGCTGCCTTTTGTCAATAAACCAAATGGTGTCACCTAAATATGAGAAACGTGAGAAGCTGAGGTTGGTCTCCGTGTCAGCAGAATAACAGCCCGTTCTGCTAAGAACACGTTGGCCTTGTTTCCTGCGTCTCAAGGCTGCCCCAGTTTCTCCTGCAGCTCCTGGGAGCGCTCCAGCTCTGTGTTTTATTTCCAGGAGCCGCCTGCTGCGCGGTGACTCCCGGGACCCGATCGGTGGCCTCGTCCCATGGTGAGCAGCGTGGTCCCCACTCCTTCCTGCCTGTCCACCTAGAGTCTTAGCTCCCTCACAACAGCTACTAGAAAGATCTAGTTTCTACACAGGGGATCTGTATGTCCCGTAGGCCCTGCAGTTGGCCGGCATGTGGCAGCCCCTCTGCTCTTATATTTCTGGGGCAGCAAGGCCTCCGTTATGTACCAGGTAGGAGGGAAGTGCTCTTGTCTAATTTCAAACTTCCCCAGTTGTTGACGGATGGCTAGGAGCAAACTCTTGCAGGAAAAAAAAAAAAATCTGGGACTGGGATAGGATGAGGCATGGCTCTCGGGCCAAACCGAGAAGAAATGATTGAGGCTTAGAGCATGATATGGTATTTGAAAGACTGTCCGACACTCCTTATTTCATCATACCCCTCTTTCCACAACCAGTCCATGAGGTAAGCAGGACAGATCTTATCCTTGTTTTACGAAAGCCTTTAACAATGCCTGTGTCAGAGGAAACCGTGTCAGAGAAGGTCAAGTGACTTGCCCAGTGGCACACAGCCACTCAGCTGGATGGGAACCCAGTTCTTTGGCTCTGCATCCAGGTGGCTCTTTCAATGTTTATGGCAGGGAAACCAGCACCCGGTTGTCCTGCTGGCCTTTTGTCAGAGACAGGGGGTCATTGGAGGCCAAGGAAGTGGAGTCCAGAAACCTAGGGTTCTGCCCAGGGAGCTCACCTGGACATGGAGGTAGATTTTGAGAGATTAGGAAGACCCAGACTCCGGGGTAATAGCTTTGGAAGTCGGGTAAGACTCAAAGAAGCAAGATGTTGGAGCTGACATTCGAGTGGGCCTCACTTCTCTGGGATCTTGACCTCTATTCAACCTTGCCCACTAATGAAGGAAAGAGGTGGACGTGTGGTTTCTGCCCCGGCTCCGGCCAGGGACACCTTCAACAATGCCTGTGTCAGTATTTGTGTGGGGTCATTGACCACCTGCACCAGACTCACCTGGTGCCAGGTTTAACACTACAGGTACGGGGGTCATATCTTAGATCTACTCATGCTGTTTCTCTAGGGATGGTGCCTGAGGACTGCAATTCAGCATTCTATCTAGGTCATGCTGGTAACATAGCAAGGTTGAGAACCACGGCCTTAGATGCACCCCTCCCCATACTTACCTAGGACCATGGAAAATTCTAGGGCCTCTGCAGGGACAGATTGGTAATTTAAGATATATCCTAGTGGGCGTGTTCTAGGTTGCTTCTTGATATCTGGGTGTGATGATATCAGGATGGATGCCAGGGTCTGGCAGTGACAATATTTATTGAGCACCCACCATGAGCAAGGTGCCACAGGAGGGGAAAATACAAAAACAAACAGGGCATGCTCCCTGCCCACAAGGAAGTCCCCCAGTAGAGGACCCGGATCTGTGCCCAGTGAATGAGTTGTAACGATAAGCCCTAGAGGTAAACACTAAAATCGCAGAATTCTAGCGGTAAAGGAGCTTCCCATGCGTGCCCCCTCTCTTTAAAGACCAGAGAGCTCGGCCTGATCAGTGACATGAGCTGGTCACAGTCACCAGCTCAGAGGCCTCTGGAGTCAGGGCCCGTCTTGTGGCTTCATCATGCTGGGAAGCAAAAGAGGGTCCTCTTAATACACCTGTAAGAAAGCTCGCCTATTGGAGCTGGACAGCACTTCCAAGAATTCTTCAGTCCATTTAGACTTGAAGAGCCCTCATCTTCCACCCAGGGGGCCAGACAACTCTCCTAAGGAGACAGACAAGAAATGAAAGTGGCAGTCAAGGTGCGTGTAGGGGACACCTGCAACGAGGCACCTCTGCTCTGCCCGTTCCTTTAGCAGCTACACTGAGTGGCTGCTTCTATTAAGTCAAGTAGCATCTTCAGTGCAAACCCCAGGATGGCCAGGTAAGGGAGGAAGAGGCTGGTGGGCACCGGGGTCGTTGTGAGGTGGGCCCCCGGGGAGGTTGGCCCCAGTCAGTGAACCACCTGGGGCCACACCAGCAGACTCACTCACGGGCCTCCTGCCAGTCTCACCTGCCACCTTCTGTCCCTTCTCAGGACTCTTTGAGACCCTGCGCTTCACTTCCGGTGGTGGCCATGCTTTGGGTTCTCTTGTCCCTCCCTTTATCCCCTCAGGTGTAACCTGTCCTTTCCCTTCCCTTCCCTCCCAGGACAAGCACGCGGAAGAGGTGCGGAAAAATAAGGAGCTGAAGGAAGAGGCCTCCAGGTAAAGCCCAGAGGCCAAAGAAGTTTCCAGAACAGCCGGACAGCTCCAGCAGCTCCGCGTTCCCGAGGCAGCTCGCCCGCCGCTGGCTGCTCTCGCAGCACTGGGGTTTGGGGGGAGGGGGGCGACCAGGGGTGTTCCCTCTGCTTTTGGTGTTTGTACATGTAAAGAATTGATCAGTGAAGCCATCCTATTTGTTTCTGGGGAACAATGATGGGGTGGGAGAGGGGAGAGGAGAGAGGTGGGAAAGGGAGATGGAGAAGGATTCATGGACATTGCAACCCTGCCCACCGCAGACTCAGGTCAAGTCCAGGCACCATGTTGAGAAGTTGAAAACAGAGCAGAAGTCTGAGAGAAGGGCAGAGTCCTGAGTGGGGCAGCGGCTGCAGGGTGTGGCCACCTGCAAGGGGGTGGGGGGTCCCAGAGGTGTTGCTTCAGCCCTGCAACAGATGGGATGAGGTCTGAGTGTGTGCGTGTTAACCATCATCTTTTGATCATCATGACCAATGAAACATTTATTCCCAGTCTCCTGTTCTTTATTTCCTGAATCGGTCCTTTGGGTGATGGGTAGAATGTTCTTGGATTTGGTTCCCGCCCTCCACGTGACAGATGCCCCTTTGGTCCCTCAGTTTGACCGTCAGAGCATCTGAGATGCTGAGGTGGGTTGAAACATGCCAGCCTTTGGCATAACTGAAAAGTTTGCTGCTTCTCTTCCCCCTTATCCTCTCTCCCTCCTCCTCCTCCTCCTCCTTTTCCTCCTCCTCCTCCTCCTCCTCCTCTCTCCCTCCTCCTCCTCCTTCTTGTGGGCTGGTCCCTTATTGGATTTGGTGCATGGAATTGATGAGAAAAGAAACCCAATCTTCCTTTCTATGAACTGACATTCTAATATGGTCCCCAAGATGCACAGTAAGAAGGAAGTCCTCCTCACTTTGGGGGTGTGGGATTCTAGGTCAGCCATGGGCAAACTACGGCCCGCGGGCCGGATCCGGCCCGTTTGAAATGAATAAAACTAAAAAAAAGACCGTACCCTTTTATATAATGATGTTTACTTTGAATTTATATTAGTTCACACAAACACTCCATCCATGCTTTTGTTCCAGCCAGTTTAAGAACCCATTGTGGCCCTCGAGTCAAAAAGTTTGCCCATCCCTGTTCTAGGTGATCACAAAGAGCAGGTGAGGAAATAAAATGTTTGCTAGTGAAAAGCAGAGGGACTCATTGCAAACCCAGCAGTCAGAACACCAGCCATGGCGGGTAAAGGCGTTCCCTCCTCTACTCTCCTGCAGAAAGGAGCCGGGGGTGCAGCCTGTGTGGACAGGGTCCCAGGGCATCTCTCCTCCGTGCCCCACACACTGTGTAGTTTGTACAGCTTTGTGAATAAACTGTTTGGTACTTTTTGTGCCCCAACCAGTGGTACTGCAACTTAGCTTCATTATAGGATGGGATAGCAGGAGAGATCAAAGGTGATTTTGAAAATAATGATGGTAATAATAATAACGACAGATGATACTTAGGAAGCACTTATTAGATGCCTGGCAATTGTCTGGAAATTACAAATATATATTAGAGGCCCAGAGCATGAAATTCATGCACTTGGGGGGCGGTGGGGTCCCCTTAGTCCAGCCTGCACCCTCTTGCAGTCCGGGAGCCCTTAGGGGTTGTCAGACTGATGGCTTAGGCCCGCTCCCAAGCCAGCAGTCAGACATCCTTAGTGCTGCCACAGAGGCGGGAGAGGCTCCTGCCACCGCCACTGTGCTCGCCAGACATGAGCCTGGCTTCTGGCTGAGTGGTGCTCCCCCTATGGGAGCACACTGACCACCAGGGGCAGCTCCTGCGTTAAGCATCTTCCCCCTAGTGGTCAGTGCATGTCATAGAAACCTGTCGTTCCATCATTCAGTTGATTTGCATATTGGCCTTTTATTATATAGGACTAGAGGCCCGGTGCACAAAAATTTGTGCACTGGTGGGGGCTGTGTCCCTAAGCCCCACTGTGCCCTCTCACAGTCTGGGACCCCTTGGGGGAAAACGACCTGCTGGCTTAAGCCCGCTCCCAGGTGGCAGAGGGCAGGCTCAATCCCTAGGTGCAGCCCCTGGTCAGGCTCAGAGCAGGGCCGATTAGGGAGTTGGGGCACTGCCCCCTGTCATGTACAGAGCAGGGCGGATCGGGAGGTTGCGATGCCACCCCCAGTCATGCTCAGGGTAGGGCGATTGGAGGGTTGGGGCACCACTGCCTGTCACACTCAAGGCAGGGTCGATGGGGAGGTTGCGGCGCCACCCCCTGTCACGCACAGAGCAGGACCCA